GGTTATATTCTCGTATACTCTTTAATAATAATCGATAAATCTTTTTCTCCAAAGCATCAAAATTAGATTGAGAACTAAAAACTTCACTCACAGAGGCTCGTTCTTCTTTATTTTCCAAAGTATCATGTCTTATTCCGTAAGCTCGTTCCATGTTAGTCCAAATAAACTTAAAATCTCTTATCATAAATGCTCTTTGGTCGGTAGTTGGCTCATGTAATTCAGCCTTAATTTGGTGAGGGGCAATTCCCATTTTTCCTTCCTTAGGATTAGCTTTCTGTGATTTAGGTAAACACATAAAAAAGAAAGGTCTTTTTTCAAAGCTTTTAGTTAATAATTTGACATCTCCATCATCAGGTCATTCAGGTAGGGTAAATCTAATCCCTCGTTCACTAATTACCAAATCCCGTTCCATTTTGCTTAACAAATTAGCTAATCGTTTAGTCCAAAACTCTAATCCTGTTAGGTGAGGAGTTCCTGGCTTGTTGAATTTAAAGATGACATATTTTTCTACTTGAAAGCCATCCACAATTTCATTGCTATTGTCTAATAATTGAAATTCTAAATCAATCGGTTCTTGGAGCAAATTTTCTTTTACTTCTTTTTCGGAATTTTCTTGTTTGGTCCTAGGAATAGCCAAAAATTTTTCCTTGGTGTCAGGATATTCAATAATAGCAATTTCTCCTCGGGTAATGGCTTCTTCAATTATTTCGTCAAAATGTTCTAATAAAGAACCTTCTCCTGTTAAGTGAGCATTACCAATTAAGCAATTAGTTAGGTAGTTTTTAGTTTGATTAATAAAAGTAGAGTAGTTATCCTCTACCGAAGATAAATCGAACATTTCTTTACTTATTTTTCCGTCTCAATTGTTAGTCATGATATTAGTTCTTGTTTTGTTTTTGTCTTAATTTCCTCCTTTGCTTGTGAGAAAGAATAGGAGTTGGAGTGGGAGAGATAGTATTGTCAACTGACCAAATGATTAGAAGAAAGGGATAAGCAAAAAGAAAACTATGGAAAAAACTAGAATTGTATTTTT